GCAATATCCATAAGTTTCCTCACAATTGTTATTCCTATGATCTTCAATGCAGAAACTCTGAATTCATTTTTTCTACTTGTAAAGAAAATAGTATGCAGCAAGTAACTCTTTTAAAATTTTTATATGCGAATGGTAATGATAATATTAGCTGTTTCCCTATAAGGAAACATTTGGCATTCATTGAATAAGCAATGAGTACAAATGTCAGTTGAAATTTATAAAATATTTCTCTTAAAACAATTTTTTCAGAAAATAGGTTTCTCAAGTCCAATAGTTATTATTGCTCCTTCCCGTATTGATGGGGTGGGGTCCTTAACCTTTATTTGAAATAGTGTACAATATCAACATCTTGATTATATCATTATTTTCTCTTCGAGTTACACATACATTTTAGTCAGTGCTGCAGTTGGTAGTCCACAAGTGATGTGGTTTCTGTTATTTGATACAGTTCTTTGTTTCTGATTGTGTATCATCAGAGTTCACATTGTTCAAAGAAAGATGGTTTTGCCAAGACCCTCAGGCTTCACTCACTCAAAGTCACTTTTAACCATTGATCTTCGAAAGCAGGTAGCAGTTTAGATATTTCTGATTGAGTTTGGTACCATGCATGATATCCATTTTAAAGTCGCAATCTTGAGGCTATCTAAGAACATGACTTGTGTTTTCAGCTTGTTGTTCTTGGTTTTGTAGCAATTTGCAGTGTTGGGCTAAACTACTCCTAGTACAACTTATTCTGTGTTTAATTTCCTCATAATATTTATTTTTTTATAACCGATTGATATGCTGAGGTATTTGAAGTGTTTACCACTTACTAAGAACAATTATAAACTTAGTAGTTACAATAGATCAAACTGAGAAGTAGTTAGTTGTTAATGCTCTTTCCATTATTGATAGCGGTCTCCTCTCTAATCTTGTAATTGTAGTTATATGAAATGTCATCGGGTTATTAAATAGAGGTAGTAATTTTACTGCAGAAATAGCTAAAAAAATCCCCGTACACCTTTTTTTCTCACCCTTCTTGTCTGTGGAACTTTCTCTTTGCTTTTTTTCCTTTCCAGTCAACTTTTATATTTAAAAATTGAGATCCAACATCAGTCGCCATTTTCTGTTTCCTTAATTCCCCTTTGGCATTTTGTCGTATTATTGCCTTGCTTAGGGTGAAATGATTAAAAACATGGCTGAAATCAATTATTTTTAATTATTAATATTAATAAATTATTAATTATATGTCCCAGTATAAACAAAACAAGCAACCTGCCTTGTGTTGCAGTTTTTTGGGTACTAGTGAGCTAGCCTAAATGAGCTGACTCAGTTTATAGTTCACCAATAAAAGGGTTAACCAATCAGAAAGCTCAAAATATTCAATGCGACGTATATAAAGGCAGCCATTTTTTTCTCCCAACCTGATATCGAAGACTTAAAGAATTACTTAACAGCCGCTACATTCTCTGAATCTTCACTGCCGACCTCTGATATTGAACTGATTACGGACTTCACTGGATTCCATATTCAGAGACTACGGCAAACATGGTCAACACCTTGTAAAGAAAAACGCCTATGCTGGTAATGAACGCGTCAAAACGACCCTTAAAACATATGGTTACGTCAGCAAATTAACTTCCCGACCAGGAGGAAGGAACAGAAGGGCAGGAGACTTCAATAAGATTTATATTAAGTTGTTTGATTAATTCCTCTTAGTAATTAACACATTATTAATTATTGATATTATTAATTATTATTAATATTAATAAATTACTAATACATTATTAAAAATTATTAATAATTAATATTATAATTAATGTTCCTCTACTTTATAAATTTCTCTCACAGTCAGTAATCCCTTGCGTCTTAGTTGCTTTATTGCGTTACCTGGAGCGAAATAATTTTAGAAAAATCAGAAATTAATATAAATATTATTGGTTGAAGAGTTATTATATATCATCATCAAGAGTGATTCGTTTACTGTCATATTTTAAAGTGTATTTTTGTGTGCACATATCTAGGTGTAAAAGAAATACGCCAGTAGGTGATCCACCATAATCACCTTCTGGAAAATACGTATTAAGTTTCAGTGCAGATGAATTCGAAGGATGAGCATTTGTGAATTGCCTTAATTCCAACGTTAATTGATAATAAAATCCATTTGCTATCGTTTCTACGCGTTCACGAGTTTTTTCGTATACTAATTTTATTTAACATATATGATAGCCATAGAATAGAATTTGATTTATGATTTCATCTCGCGTTAGTGGATCCGCATCCCGCTGCTCTTAGCGTTTCACACAGAGATACGGAATAACTGGATTAGATAGACTCATAAACCTTTATCTCGAATGAGATGGAGTGAATGCGCATGCGCTGTGAACGAAATTAGGTAATCCCAAATATGGTGGCAAATCAAATGCTGCAAATCAGGCAGCATCTTATTCTCACATTATTCGTGGATTTTCACGGAATGTCGTTCCTTTCGCGAAAAAATAGTGAAATTAGTTTGTCATCCATCTTGGATTATTGACAAAACAATTCTGATGTTTCTTTTTTTTAAGAATCCCTCTCAAGAAGATAATATCCTCATGAGTATATATATATATATTCTAAACTTAGAATTTAATTTTGTAATTAAATTAAAAGCATTAGTTCCATTTCATCTTGAAGCGAATATTGGAATAACTTATTCTTAAATTTACTGATAAATTTACTGATAAACGCACGCATAAAATTCATAATTCACTGTTTCCAAGGATACAGAGAAATCCAATCATTCAGACAAGGGGCGGTAGTGTCTTTAATTAAATTTGAAGTTTTTAGCTTCCATTTTTGAAACATGGTTATTACTATGTAGCGGCAAAAACATATTTTAAATCAGTTAATTTATAATATTTATGCTCTGTAAATTTACTTTGAGCACTGTTTTGTAAAAATAAAAATATTTATAAGAACACCGGATTATATATCTTACTGTTCTTTCGTTTCATTTATATATTTACAAAATTCCAAAATTCGCTTGAGGATGAAATGGAACTAATGATTTTAATCTAATCAAAATTAAATTCGAAGCTTTTAGCTTCCATTTTTGAAACATGGTTATTATTGTGTAGCGAAAAATATTCTAAATGAGTTAATTTATAATATATATATATATATATATATATATATATATATATATATATATATATATATATATATATATATATATATATGCCTGACGATTGCGTCCATCATGAAACAGCCTGTTTTATCTAAGTGTTGACTTTAATGTTCACTTTTATATTTGCACACGCACTTTATCCCATAAACATAACACACCTTAGAAGTATATTTCTTCATATATATATATATATATATATATATATATATATATATATATATATATAAATCATTTAACCACAAGCAAGGCAATAAAGCCACTAAGACGGAAAGGTTTATTGAGACTGAGAGAATATGAGAAAAAATACCATTATGGAGAGAAAACATTAAAAGATCAAGAATTAATAACGGAGAAGGTAAAGATTGACATTGCCTTTAAATGTTTGAAGATCAAACAAGAATGGGACGCAAGAAGCCGGAACAGATTTCCACAAGTGAGAAGTGTGATAGAAGAAACTGTTAGCATAGAACTTACGGTTGCATCTTGTCCTTTCAACTGCGACACTTGCTGCCCATCTAGTTCCGTACTTATATTCATAGGCACCAGAGAGGAAGGTTCATCAGAACAATTACCATGAAATTATTTACAGAAAAGGCGCAAGGAATCTTGGTGAGAGCGGTGGGAAATCCGAGATTCTAGGTCAGTGCCAATAACATTGTAGATTCTTCTTTAGATTTTATCAAGAATCACTAAATATATAGAAAGAGCACAAGGCCAGATGTATCAGCCATATTCAAATCAAGGGCGAATGGTAGAATTTTTAAGAGGCTTCTCTGGGGAGAAACATTGTCGAGCACAATATAGTGAACTAACTTTCCTAGCAACGGATATAAAATTGAATATAATCTTTCCGCACATATATTATTTTGCCTTCATTTTACTGTACCTTTTTCCCTGCAATAAGACAGTCTTGACCCCGCACCCAGAAAATACATTGAATTAAATAACCACTTAAAAATTTATATCCATGCGTTTTTATATAAATGCGTAAAAAGAAAGTTTTTTTTTAATTTTTAGTTGAGAAATTTACAAAACAAAACAAAATTCCTCTTGCATGACATGACCCTTCATTTCTTTTGTTTATATATATATTTTATGTCGTGTTTGTTACATCGAACGTACATTGCTAACACATACGCGCGTGTCAAATACTTGCAATATTAATTCATACGGAAATTGCCGGTGATCAGATCCCAAGAGTTTTGAAAGCAGAAAACAAGATTTCGCCATTCTTGAATAGTGATTTCCACAACATTAATCCTTGCACCTGATTGGTTCCTGTCGTTCACACGAGTGAAATCCAAATGAATGTTGGCTATTTTTTTCGTTCTTTTAAGGGATAGTTACCGCTAAATACTTGTATGGGAGCTTAGAGAGATCATAAACATGGTGGATATAATAATCAGGAATCGTAAAGTTGAAGATGATAAATTATTTCAGATTATTCTTCTGGAATAAGATGATCATCTTTGTAGGCTTCTATGATTTTACAGGCTGTAAATTACGGACTTTGTAATTTCTTGATGCTGTTTTTAAAATATAATTAACTGTTTGTTGTCACCGGTGGATTTTCCTGATCAAATGGAAGATGAACAAATTCCTGATCAATGCATTTTGAGTGATTAATTGATTCATTTTTTACGAGTTATCAACACTTTACTGGTTATTTAAAGCCAAAAAAATATTTCTCATTGCAAGGATCTTCTTTTTAGATAATAAAGATTTAATGACAGTTTTACTAATTAACCCATAGCTGGAGGGGAGTATTCTTGTCTTTCACAAGGGTATTTGCACGGAATTGAATATAACGAACACAACTGTAACTGGATCCCATCTCATATCTCTGACTGACAATACAGTACCTGGTATTCGCAAGCGGTCACTCATCTAAGTACTGATAAGGCTCGACGTTGCTTAACTCCGGTGATTGTACGTGAAAAGGTGTTCAATGTGTTGTGGCTGCAAGCAATGTAATTTAGTCTAGTGATTTCATATACAATGGCAGAAATACTAAATTTATATAGTAATTTCACATGATATTTTTATTGCAATAATGGTTAATAATAATTTTACAATAGAAAATAATAATATAATTTTGAAGTAAAAAATAATAATCTGATTAACAGACTATTGTCCTCATGTTTGTCGCCATATTTATCACAACATTTCGGCCGTTGTACACTCCGGCCATCTTCAGGTAGTTGGAATTTCGAACTGAACCCTTTATTTCGCTCACTGGGGTAGACTGTTCTAGTCCCACGTGCCATGTTTAATGGATGTCAGTTATCAGTTATCTCCTGCTAATTTCCCTCTGAAAGTTCTCCACTGCCTTAACCGGGTATTGAACTCACACTCTTTGTGTCCTGTCACTGGATCTAACCAACGCCTTTATCCACTGTGCCATGTGTCCTTGAGGACAATAGTCCGAATAATGTAAATAATGTACATAATACCTCATCTCAGAAATATAGACAGTCTCTGAAGTATTAACAGATATATTTTAAAAATCTTTTCACCCCAAAAAGGCGATAATGCCACTAAGACGCAAGGGACTACTGGGAGTGAAAGTAAATGGGAAAATTTAGAAGGGACCAGAAACACAATCCTGAACAGGAAACACGGGATAAACCTCTACACCTGTTCAATCCATGCGTATGAATTGTGAACAAGGACATAAGAAAACCTGTCTACTCTTATTAAATACACGGGATGTTTTATTGGTTTATATACTTGGTCTTTTTCCACACAACTACCACCCACACCACTATTTGCAACTCTCTTTGTGTTCTTCTTCCTACTCGCTAACTTAGAGCAGTAATAATATAAGACTACCTTTGGTTAATGACCAGGATTTGACATTTCATGTGAAAAATAAATTGTAGAATAATATATAAAGTTAATAGATTAAAAAAATAAACAAACGAATGAAACATCCAGCGTTCAACAGCAAAATCTCAAAGCATATTGTTGCATTGTTTGTCTTATCTTTATTCTAGTGGTCTATCGGTAGTTCCTCAGTCGGGATCTCAACGCTGCACCAACAGACTGAATCAACTGTTAACAACTAAATCTCCTTTTAATAGATTTAATTCCTAAGGGACATACCGGGCATCGTTTCTTTGGGGAAGCGAGATGGAAATGGAGATAGATAGAACGGATGTTAACAAGTCAGCTAGCTACCTCCACGTGGTAGCTTGTCCCGCTGAATCTGTGAGGGAAAGCGTGGATCATCAGAGCTCTTTTATACAGCAGCAACAGAACTTCGAGTTTTCACGCTTTGTCGGTCTTATATCAAAACTTAGACAAAGACAATCCATTACTGATACGATTCCCTTTGATTGATTAATTTACGGATTAGCAACCTTTTGCATGTTATTTAAAGGCAGAAAATCCTTTTAGTTTGTAAGAATTTATTTGGAGATAAAAATGAAATTTACTTATACAAGTTCTACTAATTATTCTCGGTGAGGTTTTGTTGCTCTCTGGCTCGACCGAGCCTCACACATAATGATTAAGGGGATTGCAGTCTGGGATGGCCAGATGTAAGCGGTGATGTGGTCGCAGAAATTGTCTAACAGCCGTGAATGGTTTCTCCTGCTTGTGTGGCATGTTGACAGGCATAGGATCTTCCAGCAGCCACCCTTTTCAACCATGACACTTAATTTAGTTCTCCGTGTTGAGTCTGAGGCCCTCACCAAAAAAATCAATGTCTCGCTTCTTACCAGAAAGTGAGTTTTTCGATTTGCTGTACATTTGCAATCACCATTAGACTCATCCAACTCTTTCCGAATTGTCTGCACTGTCCTCAGAGAGAAACCCAAACACTTCAAGCTGTATAAACATGCCATTCCAAATTTCTGGCGGAGTGAATTGCGTCACGTTGTTTGTTTGTTTTTTCTCACAGACGGTGCTCAATTTTTCCTACTATAATGTACAGTTGACAAAACAGAAAACAAACAACACCAGTGTGCTAATACCATTGGGAAATGTATGAATCCTCTTCGGCGAAAATGCATGCCATTCCAAATTTCTAGCAGAGAGAATTGCGTCTCGGTACTCTTTTTGCCACAGACGGTACCTAAATATCCCTACTATACTGTAACATCGACAAAATAGAAAACAAATAATGCCCGTGTGTGAATAATATCAAATGGTGACAATTTACCCATCGTATCATATATAGTGACACAACAAATACTAGAAAAAAAACAACAAAAAACCCCAAAAAACCGAAAATTATCAGATTCCAAAGTTTCCAGATTTTGAGTTCGTCCTGAGACTGATTAAAATATAATTAATCAATATACAAATCATTTATTACGTATTTACATATTATTTACATATTATAGATATAAGAAAGTTTTAATTTCAGTGATGTGGCAGGAGGTGGAAAGTGCAGATGTCTTAAAATATGTACGTGTTTCGCTTCCAAGTAACTGCTTATATCTTCAAATATAAACCGAC